TTCAAGGGGAATCGATACCCCCTCAAACGAACCAGAATTACAGAATGTCATGGGGGAACCGATACTCCCACAGTAGGGAACCGATTCCCCCTAAAGGAAAAATGTGAATATTGGTTTATTAAGTTTGTTTAAGTTGCTAGTATCAAATTACAAGGTGTAGGTATCTAATAGTTGTCTTAAAATGTATATTTATGTAGATTCTGAGCTTAAAGCAATTCTGGAATATTTGGCAAGTAAGATCGATCAAGGGAAAGATAAGAGATCGAATTAACTAGTGAGGCCAAGTGAGTGCATATTAGATATTATATGATGTTTAATGGAAATAAGACTTGCGACAAGTCTATTTCCGATAGTATTATGCATGAATTCATGAATCTGAGCATGTGTTTGCTATGAGTGTATGAGTAATATGTTATGTTATTATATGTGTGTTATGATTTGTATGAATATATGATAGTGTGATAAGATATAGGGACCGGTATAAGTAAGATATATGTTTACATAAATTATATGATGATATCAGAATAGATATGAAATTATATGAGTATAAAAAGATAAGTCATGTGATAAGATTTATGGAATTTATGGAAATGAAAATATATGAATAGGAAGAGTTATAAGAGAATAAATATAAGTTATATGATAGTAAAACATAAGACTATGTGAATATATGATTATAAGATAAAATATGTAATAACAAGAGAATATGATCAATTATGAGAATTAGTGTAGAGTTAAAGAAAACTAGATAAGATTAAATTATAGAATAAACTGGAATAATATATCACTTAGGAAACTTGAATATAAAGTGATGATATGCACCTATAAAATAAGATATATGTTTATAAATAGGACATAGGTTATGTAATATCAGTGCATACCCAGAAATAAAGAACAAGATAGATGATATGATATAAACTATATTATGAATTAGTGATGTAGGAATGTGATATAAATATGAAATAAAAGTTATGTGTTATATGATAAATATGAACATATGAGAATAAGAGATAAAATAAGTGACTTTGTGATAGAAACTATATGACCATTAATTTTGTAAATAGGAACAATTTAAGTGCTATGTGACTATGAGTATTTGAATATGTATCTATGTGATGTGATATATGAGGTCATATGAAATATTATATGACTACGTAATTATATGAAAAAGAATATATGTGCATGTGAATTATATTGAAATGAACTACGTTACTGGATGTGATCTTATGAAAATTGATAATGAGCTATGTGAAAGAGCTATGAGACTATGTGTATATGTGGTATGAATATGTGAATGCATAATAATATGAATATTACTGCCCATGTTATGTGTCATGAGAGCTAGAAGTATAGTTGGGCATGCCAAGAGTCGAGGGTCTATGCGGTCCTTCGGGATATATATGTATTCTTTGGAACATGTGTGAGGTCTTTTGCGACACATACTTGATCCTTAGCATATGTATATGATTCTTAAGGATTTTTTTTCTACGTGGTCCTTAGGGACATCTTATATGGCACTTTGGTGCATTTCTAGGCGGCACTTCGGTGCATTTCTACGCGGCACTACGGTGCAATTCTACGTGGCACTTCGGTGCAATTATACGAGCTTTGGTGACAACATTAGTGCACAACCTCTATAGACTCACATATCTATAGTTCTCACATGTGTACATAGGCTAATAAAGAAGATGATATAAAAGAACCTTGTATGATATTATGTGTTTTGTTTGTAATCTTTATGGTGTTAAATGATATATGTGATATGATGGGGTATATATATGTATATAGCTTGGTTAAGAAGAATAGGTACAAGATCATATGACTAAAAGATAAAGAACGAATATAAGACTATTAAAGAGATAATAATAAACTTATTACATATGATTTATTTACTTTGTGTTATGAAATGTGTGATCAGAATTGTATGATGATATGTGTGTTTCTTTGTGAAGCAATATGTATGTGTATGATATACAAAATGTAATAAGTATAATATATATTAAACCTAAGTAATAAAAATAAGTAAAATGAAATGGTATATATATATATAGGAAATATATATATATATATATATATATATATATATAGAGTTTATGATTAAATATTTTAGGCTTTATTAGTCTTAAAACAAAACATTCTAGACCCATTTTTATTAAGTAAGTTATAAAATATATCTTTAGGAAATATTAATTTGCTATCCTTCCAATTTTTAAAATTTATAATTTAATCTATAATTTAGAATGTAAACTTTAATTTTTGTTTAATTTAGTCCTAATTTCAGTAATTTAAATAATAATGTGTTCACAATATTATCATGAATTAATTATCTTATCCTATTACCAGAGTTTTAAAGTCTTCTGTATAGTTAAACTATATTACATATATGTCATTTTAGCTTAGAAAACATTCTAAAAATCATTAAAAATGACTCATTATAATTATAATTATTATGTTTTATAATAAGTTATACAAAATTTAAAATAATTCACGACCTCGGCACCCATAGTGACCGCGATGGCGTCCGTTATGTCCGCAACCGCGTTAAACGCGACGCGACCGAAAACTCAATTTAAATCCCTGATGCTAACTCCATTGGAAAATATTAAAAATTGATTTATAAAATGTTTTATTATATTTTGCGTTATTTAATTACAAATTATATATTTTTTTCGATAATGGAGAGTAACAAACATCTAGCTAGAATCCTGATAATCCTTGAGGAGTATAGTAGCCAACTCCACCGGCGGTTCCATAAAGACATTATTACCAACTGGATCACCTCGACTCTATCCGCAGCAGCATTTTGTTCTTGACAGATATACCTTTGTAGTCCAGTCCCCGATCCCGAAGTGCAAGAATCATAGAAACCAGTACATTTCCAGCTCCATATATTAGATTTATCAGACAAGTTATTTTAGATTTTAGTAACCTCATGATTGTCCGTTTCGAGCTCCATATAATGGAAACCAAGTCTCCAAGCATGCAATAAGAGGTTGCGAAATGCCCAAATCTTAGCAACAAGGACTGAGCATCTGCCAAGGCTTCGTGTGAAACCGAAAATCCAGTCATCCTCTGAGGGATTCCACCAGCAGCCGCTATGTTATCACTGAGTCTAACAGTACCATCTGAGCTCGCCTTGATCCAGCCAGTGGGAGGCTGAATCCACGCCAAATGTCATCTTACCAGAACTGGAGTAGAATCTGCATTCGCAATATTAGCAGCCACTATTTCATCAATTAAACGATTACAAATTATATTTTAGTAAATTATCACTGGAACGTTCACACTATAATTTGATGCAAACTTCTTCCAGTTTCAACAGGTACATTCCGAAATAGGTTTTTACCTAAAAAAATCCTTGCGTTTCTCGGACGCTGCTCTTGTATGGCTTCTCGTTTTTACAGACAGTAGGCTTAATTTTCATACAATTCTTAAGACCTTAATTAGACAGGGATAAGACCTGTAATTTGTTCGTGGCTGCTCAGCTTCAATATTTCCTCCGCAATCAACTCCACTAATAAATACAGAAACGTCTGAATTTAAAAATGCTTTTAACTTGTTCCAATTTCTTGGCATGGAAGCTAAGCTTGGACCAAGTCTAAGAAGACAAGTTTCCTTCTTTCAATATAACAAATCGAGACCGATGAAAACTAGTCACCCATATGGGGCTTTTTTTCCAAGTTAATTACATCATTCTTCCATTTTGTAATGATAAAGAAGAGACTTTTAAGGGTTTTGTATGCTATTTCTCTCCCCTCGGTCACTCTATAAATACCAGCTTGATCCCTTCATATGAAATCCACAGCTTAGACGTATAACACTTAAGTTTATAGCTGCAAAAAAATGAGGTTTTTGGTTCTGATGATTGTGGTCATTTCGGCCTCCGCATTGAGGGCCTCGGCTGATATCGGTTCGCTCATCAGCCAAGAGATGTTCAATGATATGTTAAAGCATCGTAATGATGCAAACTGCCCCGGGAATGGTTTCTATACATACGATGCTTTCGTCGCTGCTGCCAACTCCTTCGGTGCTTTCGGGACCACTGGCGATGTTGATACTCAGAAAAGAGAAATCGCTGCCTTCTTGGCTCAAACTTCCCATGAAACTACAGGTGGGTGGCCAACTGCACCTGACGGTTCATACGCATGGGGATATTGCTACGTTCAGGAACAGGGAAACCCTGGGGATTACTGTGTTCAAAATCAACAATGGCCGTGTGCCCCTGGTAAGAAATATTTTGGCCGTGGTCCTATCCAAATCTCATAGTAAGTGTCTTTCTCTTTTTCAATATAAATCGATGGATTCAATCATTTTAATGTATGGAAAGCTCATTGACCATGACTTTGGCAGCAACTACAACTACGGTCCAGCAGGACAAGCGATAAATGCTGATCTTCTGAATGACCCCGATTTGGTAGCGAAGGACCCGACCATTTCTTTCAAGACCGGTCTTTGGTTCTGGATGACACCTCAGTCGCCAAAACCTTCATGTCACGATGTCATCACCGGCCAATGGAAGCCGTCTGCCGATGACACATCTGCCAATCGGGTCCCAGGATATGGTGTCATCACCAACATCATCAATGGTGGCATTGAATGTGGCAAAGGATCCAACCCTCAAGTCGAGGACCGAATCGGGTTTTACAAGAGATACTGTGACATACTTCAAGTGAGCTATGGCGACAATCTTGACTGCAACAACCAGAGGCCGTTTGCTTAATTTTGCACTTCACACACATATAATAGCACCAATAAATAAAATTATATTTTAAATAATTATGCTATTCATTACTACTATATATAGATGTATTTTCTCCGAACCTGGAATAATATTAATGATGATGGGTACTATTTGCAGTACGCGGTTTAACCGTAAATGCATTCCTGGACTTTCAATAACACCTTGCAAAATCTAACATCAGATAACAAAACAATACACAATTACACTCATGAGAAGGAAATGACTGCACATGCATAACCTTTTAACAAAAGAAAAACAGAAACAAACCCTTAGATTTACAAAACAAAAGCCGAAATTGGATGTATGCTTAGAATACAATGCAAATCAGTTTTACTCATACTTGATATGCACTACTCCTTCCACTACCAATACCCGATCCCAAACTCCTGCTCTCGCCTTCCAACTTGCCATGGTTACTATGGCTGCACTGGGAAGAATGAACATGCCCATGATGCGCATTGGTGCTGCTAGAATTCACATTTATGGCAATATGGCCATTTTGGTTGGCAAGACTATGCAAATCACCATCATCCCTAGACATTTGGACCATCCCAATGCCTTCAGAATGTGCTGAATCTTCACTAGCCTGTATGTCTTCGTTGTAGCCTTTGATCAGTAAATCTGAGCAATTCTTCCGGAATCCGTGATCATATGGGTTTCTAAACTGACCACCGGCGCCCCTTAGGTAGCTATACCGTGTGACATTTGCCATTTCATTTGTTGTTATATTGCGAGATATCTGTAGCGAGAAAAGTACAAAATGAGTCTCTGGAAAGAGTGAACAAATCGAGTATTTTCTCTCTTGTTTCTCAAATAATTCTTGTTCCATATAAATGAGCTCAATATATGAGACATTATATAAAACCAGAGAAAGTAATTCCGAAATTTGATCACAAGATCTCATGTCATACCTGAGAAGCTTGTACAACAGTCAATGCAGCCACACCAAAGAAGAGGAAAAAATTCACAACTAAAAAGGAAATAGCACCAATATGATGAGAAACAGAATAGTTCATCCATGGGGAAAATGAAGAAGGGGCCGACGGATCCTGCACAATTCCTGCATACGACAAGAACATATATGGAGGTAGGACAATCAGCTCGGAAAAATATTTGCTATCTTTGGAAAGTAGTTTGAACTTGGAACAGATTAAAAGACGTACTTGCAATAGTAACTCCACAAGTAATCAACATCGCCGAAACTTCTAAAACAAGGAAAAGAAAAAAGTCCCGTTTGTTTTTCTGCATCACAAGATACCTTAACGAAATTAATCAACAGATACAATCACTAATAATCAAGTAACAATATGATATCCTCCTTGAACATGAAATTAACCTATAAGCATAATTGTAGCCAACATGCAATAACACATCATTCATGATTGTCTATGATTTGGAAGAGTCTCAGATATAAGAGCTTTTGATTCCCTCAACTTTATTTTTTAATTGATGTGCAGGATCTTAAAAATACAAAAGCTGAAATGTTAAATTTATAGAGGGGGGAAAATAAAATAAACAAGCACATTAAACTCATCAACAATAAAGCACCTTGCCAACACAATTTGATACCCAAGGGCAATGATGGTCAAATTGTTCAACACAACGATCACAAGTGGAACAGTGTTTTGCACGAAGAGGCCTGACAATCTGATTATCATGTTAAATATCATAGCAAAACAATCAGAAATTATCAAATGAGTAATTTAAACAATAAAGGGTAGATTAGGTGAGCACCTTGCATGTCGCACAAAGTTGAGACCAATTTCCAGCTAGCAAAGAAGGATTATTTGTCTCGATCTTCAATAATGGTTCCTACAGAATATATAGGATAAATATGTTACATAGAAACTACATCAATTGTCTAAAAGAAAAGATACATTTAGGATATAAAGAAACAAAATATATAGGACTGACAACAATTACATTTAAAGAGGACAAGAAAACAAATAAAACAAAACCAGTTGGGCTTTGTAAGGAAAAACCGAACACACATCATCTTTCATAGTCTGAGGATCATGGACATTTGTCTTGAGGTAACCAGGATCCTTGCTGCAAAGAAAAATAAAATGACAAAACAACTAGATAAGTAAGCTCCTCAATGAATCTCAATACTAGCAAATACATGCAGGGATCCAGACTATAGCACAGCTAGGCATGAACATGATATACACCTAGTTTTACTTCTCTTAGAGAGAACGACCTAACTAAATTAAGAAACGAGAAAATTACAAGATATACTTCAATTTTGATAATGCATCTGACATAATCTTATGGATTCATAGACACTGCCCCTGTAAATCTCAGAGTTCAAACCAAATGTATTCAGTGCCGCAATGACCTGACAGACTTTCTGAAATTAGAAATGACTGCATAACTGAATATACCTGGTACACCTATAAAACATGACCAAACCAGTAGATGCTAGGATAACACCAAACCATGCCAGAAGGCTAAACCCAGCTGTCAAATTTGGCAGATTGGAATCTGCAGCAAATGTCCAAAAAACAAGTTAATAGGTCATAAAGAGACAGAGACAGGTAATGTCTTATGGCACAATTGACTTTCATGAAGAGATCAAAAGGCATACTCATTATGACAGAGTGAATATAGGTCACCAGTAGTAGCAAGATAATGCACCAAAGAAGTGGTGCAAGTCTTACTCTTGTCAATCGTCCAAAACGGCTGTTCCCATCACATCGTTTTTCAAGAATCCTTCTAGCATTTCCCTGCAGTATCAGATGTACAAAAAACATTAATAGGTGGGGAGTAATTCAGCTGATTTCATAAGCTTATCATCTTAATGATACAGAACAGCTAGGAGACATATTAAGCCACTTATAGAGTAATTTTACAGCCTTAATTGAAACACTAAAACGACCAATCAAAATAAATAATAATGGCATCCTAATATGTCCATAGTGAAGTCAATAATTTTCAAATGCCACTCCCATGTTGCACATATACAAGGAAAGGTAGAAGGTTTCACTATTTAAGAACAAAATTACTATTTCTAGAGAAATCCCAGCTTCATATATCATAAACCTTAATGCTGCATAAAGGTGAGGAAAATGCTGAGTTTGCAAATGCACAAGGAATCAATCATTTCAAGAAGCTCCCCGAAATTTAAATGAATACATAAGACATTTTGGACATTTATGTAATATTTTATTAATTATCTTCTGCTTGTATTCTTGTTAGTAGTTCACCCGAAAATATACATGTGGGCAGAAGAAGAAGCCAGAAATGTCTTTCATTAAGGCAGAGGGCATTTAGCAGTCATCACTAACAAGAAAGAGATGGAATGTGCAAGGTTGAAAACAAAAACAAATAAATATCCAAAGAACAATTCACCAAAGAATAATTATTAACAAAGTAAAAATGTTACGGCACCTACAAGGAAAAAAGCAACTTGTCTGTGATTTTTATCAGAAGCAAGCTGTGCAGGTGTAAGGCCACTATTATCAGTGACCAACAAGTCCTCCATCTTACCCGCCTGTACTAAGACTGTGCAAGCTTCTAGATTACCCCTAATAGCAGCCCAGTGGAGAGGAGTGCAACCTGATGTAAAGATGAAATAGTCAACAGAGTAGAACAACAGATTAACCAAATGAAATTCCCTAGAAATGACACTTTAAACCTGTGAATAAAAAAAATTACCCTCCTTGTCCTGACGCCCTCTATGTGCATCAAGAAATAAAAGAAGACGTATGGAATCAGTAAAACCTTTATAAGCGGCCCTGGTGTTGTCCATATAGAGAGGAAGTTAGAATAAAATAACAGGCCTCATAATTTTAAACTTCATTACAAAATCAAGCAAATTCAAGGGGAAAACAAATTAAGTAAGTGGAATATGAAAGAAAACTTGTTAAATTTAATAACTCAAAGAGAGATTTCACTGAAGGAAAGTTCAACACAAATTTAAAGACTCTTCGAAATTTTCAGAATGAAAACAACTAAAATGAAATTTTCCCAAGTAGGTTAAATTCTTCTCAAAAAATTGTAAATCAAGATTTACAAAAGTAGAGCACTCTGTAGGACCATATCACTATCATCACTACGCAACCTAAAATCACAAAATTGAAATCCGTTTTATAAATTTTAGATAACAAATAAATAACATCCACACACAAACTAGGTGTTTCAAGAGTAGTCTTACTCACCATCAAATAAATAAATAAAATAATTTGTTTAGTACCAAAAAAAAATGTTCATTATTTATTAAAAGGAAATCTGGAATAGCAAAGTAATCAAAGGAACATAACAAAGCGAAGCTCATGCTAGACGAGGAAAATAATCAAACCTCCCAAATATTACACAGAAATGCACATATTTAGATACAAAAGAAATTAGCAGCACCACAGTGCCTTACCCTAGACCATCAAGTAAATAATAGTATGATGCATGCAAAACTCCTCAAATGTTGGACGAGGAAAATAATCAACCCTCTCGATTATCACACAGAAATGCACATCTTAAATGGATTAAGGAAGGGGATAGAAATACCAGATTCTATCACATATGTGCTCTTAATAGGAATAGAATGAATGCTATTTCGTCTTTGAAAGTGGCTGGGATAGATATCTCTGATCCTACTCTGATTAGATCAGCTATCTTTGATTTTTTTAAAGTCAATTACAATGAGAAAACTTCTCTGGAGGTGGATGAATGTAATCTGAATTTCGCAAAATTGACAAGAGGAACAAAAGACTGGGTTAGAGGCTGATTTTTCTGAACAGGAAGTGTGGGATGCTGTCTTTAAGTCGGACAGTGCTAAGGCACCTGGTCTAGATGGGTTTACAATGGGTTTTTTTAAAAAATTCTGGACTATATTAAAGGACCAGATCATGCAGTTTGTTCAAGATTTTCACAGAGGGAAAAAATGGGAAAAAGGAGTGAATCATTCCTTTATTACTTTAATTCCCAAGAAGGTGAATCCTCAAGGAATTGAGGATTTCAGACCTATTAGTCTTGTTGGCAGTCTTTACAAGATTATTTCTAAAGTACTCTCCAAAAGGCTTGTCTCTGTTATTAATGGTTTAGTAAGCCCTTCACAGTTCGCATTTATTCCGGGTAGACAATTGCTAGATTGTGCTCTTTTGGCAAATGAAGGCATTGAATATTGGAGAAAACTAGGGAGAAAAGGAGTTGTCTTTAAAGCTGATTTCTGTAGGGCCTATGATTCGGTTGAGTGGCCTATCTTATTCAGAATTTTGAAGGTTATGGGTTTTGGGGAAAAATGGATCTCATGGATTACATGTTGTGTTTCTTCTGCCTCTATTTCGGTGTTAGTTAATGGTTCACCTACTGAGGAATTCAATATTAGCAGAGGGCTGAGACAAGGGTGCAGTCTATCCCCTCTCCTGTTCAATTTAGTGGGGGAATTATTAAATCTTATGTTGATTAAGGCTGTTAATATAGGTCTGTTTCAAGGGTTCAGTATTGGTAGGGTTGGTAATTCCTTTCAGTTGTCACACCTATAGTTTGCAGATGATTTAATCCTTTTTTGCAGAGATACTCCAATGCAAATTCTAAATATTAGGAGAGTATTGAGGGTTTTCGGTGCTATGTCTGGGTTACACTTAAACTTGTCTAAGTGTTCATTATTTGGGGTTAATATGGAAGCTGACAGAGTTAAAGATTGGGCTATGAAAGCGAGCTGTGGAGTGGGGTCTTTTCCAATGTCTTATCTTGGTTTACCGATTGGAACTAGGAAAAATTCAGAGGGTATGTGGGAACCGGTTGTCCAGAATTTTAATAAGAGATTAGCTGGGTGGAAAGCTAAATCGCTGTCGTTGGCGGGCAGACTTGTTTTGGTTAAATCCGTATTATCATCCTTGCCAATCTTTTTTCTATCTATTTTCAAGATCCCTCTAAAAGTGACTCAGAAGTTGAACTCGTTGATGGCTAACTTCCTTTGGGGTGAAGATCTTGATAAAAAACAATTCACTGGGTGAATTGGAAATCGGTTAGTAAACCAATCGAAGAGGGTGGTCTAGGAATTCTTGACTTAAGGTTGATTAATAGGGTCCTACTTGGGAAATGGGTTTGGAAATTTGCTAATGAAAAATATAGTGTGTGGAAGAATATGATTTGTTGCAAAAACAACGTTAGTAGTATGTCTCTTTCAATTTCAAATGCGGCTTCACCTTTAGACTCTTGGATATGGAGAGGTATCCTCAGTAACTATGCTAAGAATGATCAGATTGGTGATTGTTTGAGACAGAATTCAAAGATGAATTTGGGAAATGGTCGGTCGATTGCTTTTTGGAGTGATGTTTGGATTACTAATCTGCCTTTAAAAACCCATTTCCCCAGAATATTTGCTTTGTCGACGAATAAATGGGGGATGGTTTCTGAGTTTGGGGAGTATGAAGATGATGTCTGGGTTTGGAACATTCAACTTAGAAGAAATTTGTGTGATTGGGAATTAGACCAGTGGATCGCTTTAATGTCATTGATCGACAAAATTTCGTTGGAACGATCTGTGGATGACTTCATGGGATGGTCAGGAAAGGGGGATGGCATGTTTTCGGTCAAATCCTGTAGACAGTCGTTACAAGGTAGGTCGGAAGAGAGTTATGAGTGGAAGAAGTGGGTTTGGAATGGATTGGCACCTCCTAGAGTACAAACTTTTCTATGGCAGATCTGTCATAAAAAATTAGCAGTTAGAGTGGAATTGAAGAAAAGAGGGATTCAGATTTCGGATGTTTTGTGTCCATTATGTCTTTCTCAGGATGAGTCTATTGCACACCTATTCCTATCGTGCACTGTTGCCTCGGATTTGTGGAGCAAATTCCTAAGGTTATGGAATATCTCTTCGGTGTTGCCTCAAGACCCTTCTGCTATTCTGTGCTCGTGGTCGAACCTATGTCATAATTCACTTATTTGGAGGTTTATTCCGGCTGTCATCTTCTGGTCTATTTGGAAGGCAAGAAATTTGGTTGTTTTTGAAAACGGCAAGTGTGACTCTAATGTTCTGTTCTTTATCACTAAATTTAGATTGGCGAAATGGTTCTTAGCTAAATACCCTGGGGTTCGGATTCAGACCGACCTTCTAATAGGGGATCCTACGCGGGCTGATAAACTCCTCCATAGTACGATTACTAAGAAGGTTATTGGCTGGACTCCTCCACCATCGGATATGTTCAAACTTAATGTTGATGGGGCAGTGACTGGAGATGGGATGCAGGGTGGTATTGGTGGTGTTTTGAGAGACTCCTTTAGTTGCTCTTTAGCTAATTTTTCTTCTGCAGTAGGGTCGGGTCTCCCTATAGTGACTGAACTGAAAGCTATTAAGAATGGATTGGTTTTTTTCTTTTCTTCCAATTGGGCTAACAAGGGTAGACTTATTTTGGAAAGTGATAGCAAATGTGCAGTGGAATGGATTTTAAAGCTACAACCTGCTCCTACTTTTTTCAGTGATTTGGTGGAGGAAATTGGAGTTCTTGTTACTGCTAAGGGCGTCGTTCTTAGATGGGTTCCTAGGAGTTGCAATATGGAGGCCGACAGGTTAGCTAAGCAGGGGATCGGTTGAGTGTTGCAGGCTTTCTGTTGAGTCTGATGACCTAGCTGAGGATGGGTTAGGCTAAGGGGTCTTTGTTTCCCAACGCTATTTGTATTAATGTCATGTTTTATTATCGAGGGTTAGAGTGTTATGTATATCTTATGTTATTCAGGTCTAGAATGTATTGTGTATCTTATGTAATTCTGGTCTATTAATAAATTGAGGTACTCTTTTCCTCCCTCAATTAGTTGCCACTTTTCAAGAGTCAACTATGAGGGAGGTTTTTAATGAGACCTCCTATTCCTATCAAAAAAAAAAAGATACAAAAGAAAATAGGCACCATAGTGCCTTATCCTAGACCATCAAGTAAATAAGGGTAAGGTGCATGTAGAACTACTCAAGTACCAGTGTAAAGGGCTTCGCCCATCATTGTCAGGAGTATCAGGGTCAGCATTCCATTTCGAAACAACATGATAGAGAAAAGGAGTCTGACCATATTGGGCAGCAACATGTGTTATCTGCATCAAATTTCAAAACTAAGTATGCATCCGTTAGGAGATAGAAATAAAAGCAAGAAATATATCGATTGAGTTATTACCCCACCATTAAATCGTAAAGAACAAAAAAACATAAAGTTTAAGCATTAAATTAAGAAATAGAAACCCAACTTCATGTTCTAGACTTCTAGATAATAAAAAAATCAAAAAGAAAAAAGGAAAAATAGTAAGTTCATCAGCAACAGCAGTAGACAAATTCTTATAAAAAAAACAGCAGTAGACAACTGTATAAAATTGCATGTGATTTAGATGATAGCAGAAGGAGAATTTTAGGGGGAAAAAGATTTGGGATAATATAATGAGGACTTGATATGTTATCAAGCCAGAGCAAACAAGAAAGACAGTATGAAATGCTATGCTTTGAGACAATCCTTGAAGTGCCAGACAAATAGTAGAACACGGGAGTAAAATCATCTCCAGCAACATATATAAAGTTAACTAAAATGCATTGTAAAAACATCCTCTTTAAGCCTCATAATATCAACATGATCTACTTGTCTTACAGAAACCAGTGGCGAATTCAGAAATATTTTTCAGGGTGGGCACATATGTATTAATAACATAATTTTTTTGTATGGGGCAGGCACATAAAATTTCAATGTGGACATCATCAGTAAAATTGACAACTAACATAAAAAATTTCAGATTTCAGGGTGGGCACGGGCTCACCCTAGAGAACACATACATCCGCCATTGACAAAAACCATGAGTTGATGAGTTCGCATGCTCCTAAAAATACATATAAATAACGTCCATGCAAATATCGGCCAACTTCAAGTGGAGAAGAATATCTAAAACAGTTAGCCGAAACAATAATTTATATCATGATCATTGTCCCAAATCCATAGTGGAGACCATACCAATTTCTTGAATAAGAAAAATTATAGTACAATGCACCACATTAAAGAAAAGCTAACCTGGTATCCATAGATATCAGCTGCGTCCACCCGAGCACCCTCTTGGAGTAAAACCTCAGCAACTTGTATTGCACCACGAACGGCACTCCAGTGCAAGGCTGTCTGTCCATTATGATCCACTGCATGCACGTCTCCACCAAGCTAGCATATCAAGACAACCCAAAAACTACTCAGTTAAACCGGATTTATTCAATGATAACTTCAAGAGTAACATGTCACAACTAAACCTTTTAATCCAAACAATTTTAAAAAAATCATTCGCATATCTCAAAAGCATTGTATTCCCAAAAATACAGTTCAATAAGCACATTAAAACCCAAATCAATGTTTAAAAGAAAGCAAATTGCATAAATTGGATAACAAATAAACCCAGTTCGATGAATCAAAAAAAAAGATTGGCAACTGGGACAAGGAAGGCTCATCAAATCCATCAAAATAAACAAATAAAAACCTCGATGATGTACTGAGCAGCGGCGGTTCTATTATTCAAAGCAGCCCACTGGAGGGCATAATAACCAAGGCCATCAGGCTCGGAAAGACAGAAGCCCTCGAACTCAACCAACCTATGGAGTTTCTCCAAATCCCCATAAGCAGCAGCGGTGTAGACATCGTTCTTCAAGCTCTCATCATCAATAACATCACCAACAATCCCAAGATTCCCTCCCCCATATTCATTTCCATTCGCTACAGAGTCACCCAATTGCTTCAGAGGCACAGCCTCCTCCACCGCCTCGATCTCCGACGACATCTCTCAAAAACCCAACAATCCCCCCCAAAAAAAGAAACAAAAATACAAATTTCTTTTTATTCTTTTTAATGATCTGAGGTTGACTTTGCTGCCCAATAATTGGTTTTCGAATAAAAGTGCGGGGGCGGCACTTAATGGGGAGAAAGAAGGAAGAGAGGGTGGTTTCCGCTTTCCACTTTGGCGTCCGTGCCGTTTTAACTGATGATGACGAAGCCAGCCCCAAGGCAAAAGAGCCGAAGCCACTTTGCCTAAGCAATTTTATTCCTAGGAATTTTGACAGGGAGCCAGCCGTCTTGCTGTTTCAGAAAATAAAAGCAATCCATAGAATTAGTAGATTTTCTAATATTTGCATTTTAACCACTCAAATTTATCTACTTTACATAATCGTACACTTGTTTTCTTTCCTTGATGGAACCTTTTTTTTGTTAAGCTGGCTGGCTGAGCCTGAGTAGCCGTGTTTATGAGTACAAGTTCTAGGGATCATTAAATGATGCGTGGATTTATTTAGACAAGTTAAGCTGCAATATGTATTCTTGGATGTAGTTTATTTATGAGACTTAAAACTGACTTCCCAGCCAAATATTTTACAATTCATGATTTGTATTATATTATTATATTATACTCAGTTTTATCATAAAAAAAATTAAAAATTAAATTATATAAATTAACCGTTGATCCTCCTTGTCTACAGCCATGTCTGTAGTCCACTTCCCTTCCATTTGTTTATGATATTCATTATATTAACAGTGTTAACATTCATCATGTGGTGGATTTGAATTGATGATGGAAATTTGTTTTTGCTTTTTAACATTGTTAATTTGCATATAGAAGTTTGCATTGATTATGTTTTGCTTTGATAATTTGTAGCTAGATATAAGATTGTTTTTGCAGACAGAATCAGTGCTAAATGATATGAATGCATTGCTTAATTTGACTGCAGTAGATGAGAGGTAAGGGGATTGCTTTTCTTTTTCATCTTCATTTACTGCTAATGGGTGGTAAGAGGAAATCTGACTGCTTGGTGGGATCGGCTTCTTTCAGGTTTCCATTCGATGAACTTCTAAAAACGAAACATTCTGGTCCAGAAAACAAAGATACGAGTGTGCAGAGGATGATGAGGAAGATGAAGAGGATGACAACGCAGACGATGACAGATCTAATTAGGATTTCTCAGGTGAAGGTGAGGAAGGGGATCCCGAGGATGACCCTGAAGCCAATGGGGATGGATGGAGTTAAGAAGAAGATAATGACGACAACGATGCGGATAAAGATGATGACGACGATGGTGCAGATGAAGATGATGAGATTGCTAAGCCACCTTCTAAGTAAATGAAATGAGACTAATCACATGATATTAGTTTTCTATTTGTACTAGTTCTTCTGCTATTTGTAATTGATAGATCATTGAGAAACTCATCTTGCAACCTTAAATTTAGAGACCTACTGGGAATTGGCAGGATGGGAGAAAAGAGGCAGCATAAGCAAAATTCTGAAACACAGTAAAAAAAGAATTCCATAGAAAACACCCACAAAGGAAGAGAGACGAGAGTTATTAAAAAGCGTCCAATCATATAGTGATACATATCACCATCGGATTCAATATTAAATTTATTAAATTAAATAAAAATTAAAACCAAATTAATAGAATGTGTAAGTGACGATGACTAAATATATAATTATAAAAATTTTATTAACTGTCATGTTATCTCCTCTGTTAATATTTAACGTCAGGTGGTCAATAGTTATAGTTTACCCTAAAAGTTAATGTTTATAAATATTATGAGTAAAATGTGTAAATAATTAGGTGGTCAATGGTATAGTTTATACTAAAAATTAATGTTTTATAAATATTGTATTTTAATTAAATTACATTTAAATTTTTAATTAATTTATAATTATATGTTTAATATTTTATAATTTAAAATTTTATAAATTAATTTAATAGTGCTAATCATAAACGGTGTTCATCTATACTCGACGAGCGTTGTAGAATTTTTCAAAAAGATATTAATATTTAGATAAATGGGTTGAAAGTCATTACAAATTTATATTTTTGTTAGTGTTGTTTGAAAAGTTATTGTAATAATAATATTATTGTTGATTATAAAATGATAATTCAATCTTTAACTCTTATTAAAATAATGACATGATATAATTAAAACAAATTAATGGATTTTGAATTATAATAAAAAATATTTAATTATTTACAGTCCCGTTACTTATGATTCTAAAAAACTTTAAGTATAGAAAAAATTCCTTAAAATTTGGTATAACCCAAACACTCAAAGCCCTCCCTAAACAAAGCTTATCTAAAATGATACTCTCTTCTCCTCGTTAGATGTCTATTATTTGAATTTTAAAAATATCTCATTCAAAATATCTTATTAGAAAATTAACAAATAACAACATACTTATGTTTTTTCTTTTACCCTTATATATATTATTATTTTATATCTATCAAAACAAATTCGTCAAATCTATCAATTAATTTTTTTAGAACAATTTTATCATTCTCTATCATATATGACTTGACATGTAATCAAATTTATCTTCTAAAATTATACGTTTGATCAACCTAAGACAAAATTAATAGGACAAAAAGAATAATATATTTTAATAAATATCTACTGAACTTAAATATCAAATTTCAATATTATTTTAGAAAAATTCTACGACACTTGTCGAGCGTGGATGGCACCGTTAACGATAAACATCATTAAATTAATTTATAAAATATTGAATTATAAAGTACTAAACATACCATTATAAATTAGTTAAAAATATAAATATATTTTAATTAAAATATAATATTAATAAAACATTAGTTTTTAGGATAAATTATGCCATTGACCATTTAACTATTTACTCCTTTTACTTTAACCACCAATTTTTCAATTTTGTCAACCGAATCACCTAACTATTTAAATTTTGTCAATCAAATCATCTGTTGTTAAATATTAACAGAGGAGATGACGTGACAGTTAATAAAATTTGTATAATTACACATTTAATCCTCATTACTTACACATTCTATTAAATTGATCCTAACTTTTAATTAATTCAATAAATTTAATCTTCAATCAAATGATGACATGTGTCACTATGTGATTGGATTTTTTTTCTTAATATTTTTATTTAATTTAATAAATTTCTATTCAATCAAATGGTGTCACGTCACCAATTGAATGAATAGAAAATAAATTGAAATTATAATCGTTGTTAGTGAGGTTTCAACCCAAAATGTGAGGAAATGAAGTAAACGCATCAACCACTAGGCTGCACCATTCAAATGACAAACAAAAAATGACATAATATATATATATTTAATGGCAATAAAAAAAGGGAAATGGCCTAATAAGGACTCTAACATTGAATAATTGAATAATTCAATAATATGAAATATATACACAAATATTATAATTGATTAATATGTGAATGCATTTTATTTATATTTTAAATCATTTTTATGAAAAAATAAAAATAATTTTAATATATTATAATTGAAATATAACGAATTGATTCGTTGACTTGAATTTTCTTGATAGTTGAAGGCTTATTGTAGTAAGCATTTTAACTTATGCATTAACTTATTTATATCCCGGTTAAACTAAAAAATTTATATTTAATTATTTAAAGTAAGAATTATTTAATTATTTAATATAGAGTTGTTAAATTAAAATATAAGATATGATACATTTCAGTTCAATAAAATTAGAATAATGAGGATAATTTATTAATTTAAAATATGTAAAATGATACATTTAAATTATAACATATTAAATTCACTTTTATTTTAATTTTTGCATTAAATGTGATTTAAAATATAAATAAAACATATTTATTTATTAATCAATTATAATATTTGTTTATATATATATATATATATATATATTTATTTATATTGTTCAATTATTTTATGTTTGAGTCTTTATAAGGTCATTTATTACCATTAACTATATTATAAATTATATTATGCATACTAGACAAATTTAGTGGTTTGGCTTAGTGGTTAAGGTGTTTAATTTTTTAACTTGTGTCCCATGTTTAAACCCTACCACCGACGGTTATTGATTTAATTTATTTTCCATTCATTCAATTAGTTACATGTGGCACTATTTGACTGGATGGAAAATTTAGTAAATAAAAAAATCCAATCACACAGTGACACATGTCACCATCAGATTGAGGATTAAATTTATTGAATTAAATAAAAGCTATGACCAAATTAATAAAACATGTAAGTAATGAGGACTAAATGTATAATTTTACAAATTTTATTAACTGTCACATCACATCCTCCGTTAATATTTAACGGCAGGTGGCTTGATTGACAAAATTTAAATAGTTAGGTGACCCGATTGACAAAATTGAAAAATTGGTGGTTAAAATAAAAGGGATAAATAGTTAGGTGGTCAACAATATAATTTATCCTAAAAACTAATGTTTTATAAATATTGTATTTTAATTAAATTATATTTAGATTTGTAACTAATTTATAATTATATGTTTAGTATTTTATAATTTAATATTTTATAAATTAATTTAATAGTGATCATCATTAAATGTGCTTATTCGTGTTCATCATGGCAGCATCATCCATTATTTATTGTATAGGTTTTTTGTTATTTTTCTTTTCTATTTGAAAATTGAAAATTCAATGAATTTAACCACTTTTATGGGATGTTCTGGTTACAACTATAACTTTTTTTTGGCTCAAAACAAACAAGTGAACTTGTATACACTCATTTTCGTCCGGATTTGTTTTTATTTTATTTTATTATATATATATATATAGTATATAGTTTAATTTTTGCAAATGTTTTTGAAAAATATAATTTTTTGAAAACGGTTTTCGAAAATATATATATAGTTTTGAAAATATTTCGAAAAACTATATATATTATATAGTTTTGAAATTTTTTGGAAACATTTATAATATATAGTTTTTGAAAACATTTTTAATATATATATATAATATATAGCTTTTGATAACATTTTAAAAAATATATATTATATAGTTTTTGAAAACATTTTTAAAAACATATATTATATAGTTTTTAAAACATTTTTGAAAACATATATAATATATAGTTTTTTAAAAATATTTTTTTGAAAATATATTATTTTGAAAAACATTTTTTGAAATAAGGTTTTGAAAACATTTTTATGTTATTTTTATTATTTTATTCTTTATTATTATTATTATATTTTATTATTATTTATTTCAGTATTTTTTTCAAGGTCCATATTAGTCCAAATGGGTCCACAGTCCGGAT